TATATATATATATATATTCGATTCCGTTCACTCCTAATATACGAATAAAAACTCGGGTCATGAATTATATATATATATATATAACACCTTTTAGTCGGCCACATTTAACGATGAATTCGTTGCTTCTCGCCTCTTTAATGTTCACGCCACGAGAAGTTAGTCCGGAGATGATCCGAGCTCCAAGCCTGAAGCTTTTCCCGTCTCTCCGGCTAGAAACGTCGGTGAATTTAACGTTTTCGATAACCCCAACCCCTGCTCTCAACGTCACGTAGACATTCCCGTCGAGCAATGGAGCTTTTCCACTCCTGTTACGCACAATATTGTGGCAGAATTCATCGTCATCCCACTCGTTCTTCACGAAGTCACCCCTAAGAACGAGGATCTCGACTTGAAGTGAGGATAGTTGTCCGAACGCGACTCTTTGGTCGCCGTTACCCGAATCAACGAGTTCCAACGTCGTCGATGAACCGTCCTTTGATTTTATCGAGCAACCGGTATAAATCCGATCGTTAAATTCGTTGATGAACTGAAGTCTGAATCGATTCTCTACCGGTTGTAACAGTGTTTGTGGCCTGCATCACAAGAAAAATAGTTGATGCAAACCAAACATTTCATAATTTAATAAATGTAGGCAGAGAGGTGGACCCATTAATTGATATGTTAGGGGTAGGCAAGGGTCGGGTACCCGCGTTTTTGGAGATACCCGTCTTCGTCTTCGTCTTCGCGGGTTTCAGAGAAATACTATATCTGTATCTATCTCATAACATCCGGGTACCCGTCCAACGGGTACCCATAACTAAAAGACGGATATTCGCGAGTACCCGTACCCGTATAAAAAATATTAAACAATATAAAATTAAACCAAATAATCAAGGGATAATCCAAAAAAAAAACACTGAACTTTTTTTTTGTCAAACAAACACTAAACTTTTTAAATGGTCCAAAAAAAATACCTCAACTCTTCGACGATTGTCAAATCAGACAAAACGAACTGATGTAGCATCCATAAATGTATATGTGGCTTGCAAAGATTTATTTCATGATGTCACGTCGACATACATGTGGGATGAGGAGTGACACGTGGGATTGAGAGTCACGGTTCAACAAAACGATGTCGTCTCAGTTAACACCATCTTCCTCCTCTCCTCTACATGACGCGTAATCGAATCTGATCAGCCGAACAAAAATGGCGTCTCTTTCTTGTTCGTCTTCGTTGTCTCTCATCTCCAACTCCCATCGTCTCCATTTCACCCATTTCTCCATACGATGTTCCATCTACATCGATAAAGAGGTTTCTGAGACTATGATTAGGGCTACCCAGGATAGTGTGAATGATGCCATTGAAGCCCTGAAGGTGGTCCTAAGTTCAAGGAGGATGTCTGGTCCCGACCCGACGGAGCCGCCTTTACCGACCAGAAACCCGATCATATTCCTTTCTTCGCCGTTGGCATGAGCTCGGTAATTTCTCTAATTCTCTGTACCCCAAGTACCATTTTGTTCCGACTTTGCATTTCAATTACTGCTATTTCGAATCTGATGCTCCAAAGGATAATCATAAATAAGCTGGAAGTTTATTTCTGAGTTATTTTGTTTGCTCTCTGTGTGTTCAAAGATGTATGCTTGATAGATATCGACTGCCATTTTCATGCGCAGATGTTGCTTGAGCTCTGAGGCAATGGTGGTTTGACGGTCGGAATCCTTCAATAAAGAGTGACTGAGAGACGAAACATCGGATGAGGAGCTCCGGTGAAAGACAAAGAAGACGATCTCAGATTCGAAGGAAACGGCGAAGATGAAGAAACCGAGGACGTCGTTTTGCTGCAACTGTGACTCCCAATCCCACACGTCCTCATCCCACGTGTATGTCGACGTGACATCACGAAATAATTTTTTGCACCCCGCATATGCATTTTCGGATGCCACATCAGCTCGTTTTGTCTGATTTGACAATTATTAAAGAGTTCAGGTATTTTTTGGACCATTTAAAAAGCTTAGTGTTTATTTGACAAAAAAAAAGTTCAGTGTTTTTTTTGTCAAAATTGAAAAGTTCAGTGTTTTTTTTTTGGATTATCCCAATAATCAATAAAAATATATATATTTTATTCCAAAAATATATTTTTAAGTTTAAAAATTCTTAAAATATAATAATATACATAGAATCCTAGAAATATTTTAAAATATACACAATAATTTGAAGTTGAATCTATCAAAACTTGAAAATCCAATATATAATTCTAAAGAAAAGTAAAAATAACCTAAGTATTTTAGAAATTCTATTAAAAATATAAGGTTAATTTTGTAATTTTAATATGTATGCGGGTACCCGTGGGTATTCGTTATTTCAATATATAAAATCCGAATCCGTGCTCGTATGACAGATATTCTAGTTTTTAATACTCGTTTTCGTCTTCGTTAGGTGCCGAGTATCCGTTTTTCGGGTACCCACGAGATCGGGTATCCGCTTACCCGCGGGTAACGGGTTTAAATGTTCAGCCCTAGATAAATGATGACTCGTCGAATAATTATTTTTAATAATTTTGAAATTGGCAAAAGAAAAATTAAAATCAATAGCTAGAAGAAGACTTGACTAAAAGAAAAATCATATGAAAACCTAACCCAAGTACTAGGGTTCCGCGTTTTATTATATAGAATCAAATTAAACTAAACCAATATAATCATATCTAAAAACTCGTTCAATCAACAAATCGAATAATCCGAAGGACTCTTCCAGATAATTTGTTTTTAAAAAACCGAGAAAAATTAAATTCCATGCCATAGAATCTGCAACGAAGTAAAATCATACACAAGACCGAAAAAGTATTGTTATTTTAAGATTAAAAAAATGAAAATGAAAAATAATAAAATTATAACCGAAACAAATTTTGAAAATGTCCACTTTTGACCCTTTGCCAGATAAAAAAAAAACTTAATCTTTTAAAGATTTCTAAACACACAAAACGGAAAATCAAAAGAAAACTAAAAACTTTTTTTTTTAACCTTGGAAGATGTTGTCGGAAGGGCTGAAAGAGTTGCTGAATCTCCTCTTGGAACACACGTTGAAATTCCTCACGGATCACTCTCCTCAATTCCTCTCTAATCTGATTCATAGCGTTAAGTATATTTTTTTTAAATTTAGAATCCAAAACAAAAATATATAATAATATAAAAAAAACACAATCTTATGGGGAATGATATATATGAAATATGATGCAAAAACAAGTTTACGGAAGTGAGAAATGGTTACCATGATCCGGAAAAAGGATTCATTGCGAAATACGATCTGATTTTTGATCACTTGTTTGATCACGCTGCAAGAAAATCACGAAATTAAAGTCAAGAGAATTCACAGCCAATACTAAATTCACACGTACCTTTTGAATGTGGGTTTCTGTACTCTTAAACCCCCCTGTTGAGCCATTTTTTTCTTTGATCTTCGTTCTTTCTCCCTGTTGGGAGATCGATAGATAGAGCGTTTGTGGCTGACACTAACGCGTTATTTTTTGGGGCCCAATATTAAATTTCAGCGAAATTGCTAATATAATTTACTATGGTAGTATAAAAAAGATTATTATATAAAAAAAACATTCACACGTAAGCTGGAGCAAAGGTCAATGCCATGAATCAGCATTCCTTTGGATGGTCCGACGTAAGAAAAATCCCGAGAATGGGTAAATGGAATCTTTAGTAAATATGTCTCGTGAAAATGACAAGTTCACAATGTGTCTGAGTGTTGAGATATACCGAATCTTGAAGAATATTACGAGATATATCGTATATTGGATATCTTATCAAATCCGGAAAATATATATTTAGAAATATTTATTATTATGTGTATTTTACTTTTCAATGTAAGATTCTCATATATTTATATGTTATTTTGATTATCAATAAAAAAATCATTACGCAAATTTTTATATGGTATCAGAGTTTCTCGTTCTTTTCTAATTTGTTGTCCTTTTTATAAAAATGATGATCGATAATGAGAGTGAAGATGAAGATGATGATGATATACCGATCCAGTGGTAATATCATTTCGAGTTTTTTTTATTAAGAATAAGATAGTCATTTTATTTTGGTTTTTTTTTTATTTTCTCTCGTAATCCCACATGTTTCTAAAGATTATTCGCATAACCGCCAATCATCTTATTCTTGCCAAAAAAATTTGTTGTCATTAAACGCTTTCGCTAGTTGCCTTACAATCTCGGATGAATCAGAGTTATTTCCGAGACTTCTTTCTATACCGCGATTGTCGTCCTTTTTTTTTGTTATCATCAAACGATTCTTTTGTGCGTATTGTCAAAGTTGCAGCGCAATTGTTTGTTTGATTTTTTTTTAGTTATGTCTTCTATCAACACAAGTTCGTAAGGTGATATGGTTCAAGCGGCATGCGTTTGATCATCTTTTCAGTAAGTTGGGCGTTTCGTGATCTTCCATACTCCAACTTGAAGGGGGATGTTGAGATATACCGGATCTTGAAGAATATTACGAGATATATCGTATATTGGATATCTTATCAAATCCGGAAAATATATATTTAGAAATATTTATTATTATGTCTACTTTACTTTTTAATGTAAGACTCTCATATATTTATATATTATTTTGATTATCAATAAAAAAAATCATTCCGCAAATTTCTACATCGAGCTTAGGAATTTTCGTCTATCGCTTTCCCTTCTCCACCGAAACTAATTTTAATTTGAGTTACAATCGTTAACATTAGTTCTTTTTTTTTAGCCTAGCACAATTAACATCTATATCAGTGTATTATTATGGTAGTTAATGAACCGCTAACTATAAAAAAAAAAACAACACTAATGCTAACTATATAAACGAATCATCAACCATAACGACCATTTTTATTAGAATCTCTTATTGGGCTTAAATGGGCCGGGAAAGGGCTATTAGGATCCTCAAATGGAGATCGATATGTTACATATCAAATTCATTTCATCTGTACGAGTGCATACATATACTCCTTTTTCTTTCATAAAGATCAAATAAAAAAATTATCTTCTTGTCATTTTAAAAAAAAATATTAGTTATACATATATATATATATATATACAACTAATGTGCATATTAAAATAAAAATAATTATAACTAATTTATAATATATATTTAAAAATAATATGTATATATATTATTTATAATATAATATTTATATATATATATTGTAGATAAATATATATGTGTTTTATTAGTTATAAATATTTTTATATTCTTGTCATTTAAAAAAAAATATATTGGTTATACATGTAATATACATATATATATATATATATATATATATATATATAACTAATGTGCATATTAAAATAAAAGTAATTATAACTAATTTATAATATATATTTAAAAATAATATCGTAGATAAATATATACGTGTTTTATTAGTTATAAATATTTTTATATTTAATATATATGTGTGTGAAATTGTATGTATATATATTAATTTAAATAAATTATTTAATTTAAATTTTATTTAAAATGATGATGTGATATAATTACGATGATGTGACCATAACTTTGAAGTCATTTAACTGTCATATCATCATTTTTGTTTGAATCGGAAGATAGAGAAAATATCACGTAATCAACTAATTTAAACACCTTCTTATAAAGAACAAATGTATTAAATGTTGGTTTTGGATTTTTTATGAAACTTTTTTGTAAGAAACTTTATGTATTATTTTACCAAAAAACAATTAATGTATCATACAGATCAACAACCAATCATATATCGTATTCATAATATGACCACATAAAAAATAACAATTATAAAAATAAGTAAGATGGACATAGTTCTCTCACAAAAAGAGAAAAGAAATTAAATCATTGGGTAACTTTATCGTTGTAACTTTTATTTAGTCACATGGACAATTATTCTTTGACATTCAAATCCTTTGTTTACGGATGGAAAATCATTTTAAATTAATATTTTGATTTCGAATTTTTAAAACTACAGGAAATATTCGTTCTAAGAACGCATACATAGCATATAAACTATATATAACTTTTCTCTTCTTTAGATAATTTAGGAAATCACCGACAACAAAAATAAAAAAAAATCCATTAATCGTGAGTTTTATTATTTTTCACTCATTATTCATAATGTTTAGGCTTAGAAAATATCATAATCGTTTCTATTTCCCAGAAAAAGGGGTTAAAAAAATATTAATTTTGGCAACAATCATTAACATAACACGAGTTTATTTAGTTAGATAAGAACTGGTTGACCGTTAAGTATCGGTTAAAAACGGGGATATGAAACAAATCAACACGTCAGCATATTAAAGGGATGGGTGGTGATACTGTAAATATGTCCGACTTTTAAGGGCAAACTAATGTCTTGGATTCTGGGATCTTGTCGGGTCGAACCGGTGACCGGTAAGATTAAGAATTCGGTTTAGTTTAGATGAAATGCCCGGTTTAGAGATGGATTCGGTAAGGGTAATTTAGTAGTTTTTTTTTTTTTAAAAAAAAAGGGAAGATAGTTCCGAGGACCTAAAATTGATGTTTGGTCGGTGGAAATAATTTCTTGAATTGTCATCAAATTTCTCTCTCATCCCTCTAATGCTGTCTGATCTCTTGCATGACCATCATCTTTTTAACGTTTGCATTGTCTATCGATACTCTTCAAGTGCAAATATAAGTAGACTCTCGTTGATATAATAATAATAATAATAATAATAATAATAATAATAATAATAATAATAAATAATGATTTAAAAAAACTACAGTTATGCATAAAAAAATGGAATTGAGATTGCAATAATCAGATTATATATATTTATGATTACACTCGAAAATATAATACATCCATATATATATATATGCATATATGTACACACACTTGGATGTAATTACAATGGCTGAAGATAAAATAAAAGAGATTAAGCATACTAAACAAAATACCCACAAACATCTATATAAATGTATGTGTGTATATAGCATATGCGTCTTGTCATCTCTCCTTCAGCCGCCGGCGATAAGAGCAATTACATTTACAATGAAGAAAAAATTTCAAAACAATACCTAAACTTTTCCATTT